TGCAAAGGGAGGCTGTACAAAGTATTAAATGAAGGGGTGCCAACAATTTATTTCCTGATAAGATTTAGTGTTTTTTCAGTTAGTATATTCGAAAAAGGATATATTTTTGTTAATATTTTGAATGAAAGTTTAAAAGGATCAGCAATAAAGAATGTTGTTTACAGCCTGTTTTGCTCATGTTTACTGGGGGTGCCAATATTTGTAGAATCATATACATAGATAGAACCATATGTGTATGGTTCTATCTATATATATGAACCATATGCAATGTATAGAACCGTATACAAAACATTCTCCAACAATCGGAAGAAAAATTTCACCATGCAAAGAACAATTTAAGCATGCAAATGGTGAGTGGTTCTATATAGAACCATTGGGCCTCGTTCACCAACCGTTCTTAAGAGGAAATTTCTTCTTAAAACCAACTTACGCAGACTTTATGAAGATTCTTAAGAACGGTTGGGGAATGAGGCCCAATCTTTTTCAAGGGTGTATATTTTTGAAAAAAAAAAAAAACAGGTTCTCTATGATTAACACTGAATTCATTTTTTAAAATCCATCAATTTATTGAGAACTTGAGTTTTACAGGGAGATTCACTCGAAAGAGGCCCCGAATATTCTGTAATAACTCTCGCTAGGATGAAGCAATCTGAACGAAACAATGTGCAGTGTGCTCCTCAGTATATGGAGCTTCAAACAAGCCGAGATGCCCCTGCGTTGGAGCGATGAGGTCGGCGCCGGACAGCTGTCGCGACGTTTAACCTCTGTTTGCAACTTCCGGGTGCATACCCCCGTACCTCTTCCAGGTCACTTCCAGCATCACATTTAATGCAATCGATTACACATCCATCAAGGTATGTAGCGTATTTTTTTGGTTCAGATTGCTTCATCCTAAAGAGAGTTACAGCAGAATATTTGGGGCCTCTTTCAAGTGAATCTCCCTGTATAACCATGAACTCTTTTTTACTTTTTTCTACAGTATACTAGTGTATACAGGTTTACCAAATGAACCACCATACAATCCAAAATCAAAATGACAAATGGACTGGATTGATTACGGAGTGGATGTCATGAAGAAGATATGTTGAGTCAGATTCTAGACCCAAACAAAAGATTTTGGTGTGTTGACGGTAATAAAGTTCAGAAATTGTACCATTTTTAAAACATTATTCAATTCCAAAGCATAGCACAAAGACACCATATGGGCAACAAACAGTAGAAAAAAAAATCATCAATCATTCTTGGATACAAAAATGTTTAAAATAAACTTTCTCTTTTTATTATCATTTATTGATTTTGTTATATACATGGCATAATCTTGTGCTTTGTTTTTTTTTTTCCCAAAAGAAGCCGTCCATAAAGAAAACAGGGAAAAAAATTAAAAAAAAAAACTGACTACATTTTAAAGTGTCTTTTTCCTGTTTTAACTGTTTTTTTAGACCGTAGAAGTGGACTAGCGTTCGTTTTCTGTTTTTTTTTTTTTTCCATTTTTCCAAAGGTGTGTATCTGCTGCGACTGGGTTGGATGGTTGCAGGTGAGCATGTGCTTTACCAACAGCAGCAAAGGCACCTGTGTATCGCTTCTTTAGAAAAACACACTCACACATACTCGCTAAGGGTATGTGCGTGCTCGCTTCGTCAGCCTGGTCCAGGACCCCTCGGCACGTTTTTTTCATAAGTGTCCACTTGGGGTCAGAAAATAGGTACAAAAATAGGAACACCGAAAAAAAAAGAGTTTTTGCTCCATTTACAGATTGGGAAGATGAGGCTTCTATTAAGCCGAGTTATTCCAATTCCTGATTTCTGCTGAAGGAGGGAGGGAATGAGGGAGAAGTGGAGAGAAAAAGTGAAGAGATGAGTCAAGAGAGGGATGGGTGACGGATATAAATGTAAAAATGATGGAGAGAAAATAAAAAAAAATCAAAAATTACCCTTTTAAAAGCCTAAAATATGCTTTCTGAGCATAACTGTGTATTTATAAGTGGACTGTAGTGTTTTATTACATCAAATGATCTATCAGTAGAACAGATCAAAATCTTCATCAATAGATCACAATTTTGGAGTTACGCTTTCGAGTTATGCTCATTTTATGAACATAATAATTCAAGATAAAAGCCAAAAAGAGTGCACCTAGTGAATCTGCTGGATGATAGGCTTGCTTAATCCTCTAATTGTCTGATGGTCCAATAAAAAAATAAAAAGTAAAAAAAAAATATATATATAGAGTATGTAGAAAAAGTACGTGTCAAAAAAACAACTTATTAAAATTTAATTTAAAATGTAAAATTTGAAATGTTTGCCGACCATTGATTTGTATTCATTAATGTGGAGTAGAATAGGCCTGGGATTTTTTTTTTTTTAAACACAAACCAATACAAACATTTTGTGATACAAACCAGATATTTCAGCTTCTCTAGTTTAACTGAGAATTTGAATCATGTTGATATCTCAAATAATTAAAAAGTTATTCAAATTTAAACACAGCACGACATGAAATTGTTGCCAGAAGCAAATTTGGTCTTAAAAGGGTAAAAGTCAAGAAAAGAGAGGAAAAAATGGACAAAAATGAGCAAAGAAATGATGCAGAAAGAGGGGAAATGAGAAAACAAACAGTGTAAATAAACATGGAGATTAAAGTAATAAAAACAGTAAACATGGATAGAAACATCAATAATAGAGGAAACAGAATAAGGCTCAGTTTGCCTAAAGCATCACAATGTTGACGTCACCGTAACTCTCATGTTCTGTTAAGATTGGCTTTGATATTTAAAACTTGTAAAAAAAAATAATTGTTATAAAAAGTTTCAATACAAAATGTTTTACCTCAGTAATTTACTTTCTTTTGACCAAATGAAAATCAGTAAACTGGAAAAAAATCAAATCCTAGAAGTAGATTTCAGAAAGATGATGAAATCCATAAATAACAATAAACATGTTCACTGCATAACTAAATAAAAGGATTATACATGAACAAAGGTATATATATATTTTAACTGCCATAGAATTTTTTTTCATTTTTAGTACTGAAATATGGCAATTCAAAACCCTGTTTACTGTGGTATGCAAAAATCTGGGCACTGTTATTAAATTACAAATACTTTGTTGATTTTCTAAGTGTGAATAACTGAACACATCCTCTACAGAGAACACACTGCTGCACATTTTAATGCACAATTACTGTCTGTTTACTGAATTTAATATGTTGGGAAAACATAAAACATAAAATGCGGCCTGTACACAAGTTATTGCACATTTTCTATTTTGTATTTCACTTTTTCTCAGCAAAAAAATAAAAATTGTGGACCAAAATTAACAAAAGAAATCATATTGAAGTGTGTTCTCTGTAAAAAATGTGTTCACTTACTTTCCCTTAGAAAATCAAAATGACAAAATTTTACTGTTCAGATTTTTGCATACGGATAAAAAGTAATAAAGTACGCTTGGAAACAATGTTAAGTGTGTTTTCCAAGCTGTTAAACGCTTAAAACTCATGTTTTGTTCAAGCTGTTAAAGAGAACAAAACATGAGCGTTCATTGGCATATTCAAGCTCCGCCCACAAAAGTGCTCTTTCCTAGCTACTGTTGCTAGGTTGGACAAGCTTTACAGAATGCTGGTAAAAATCTCATTCAAAACAATGAGAAACTGCAGCACAACTCAGAATACATACATTTGGTATACGTACTTCATTCAAGATGATATTTATTTCTATGTGTGTGAAAGGTCACAGTGTTGGGACAGTTTGGGTTAATTAAGTTTCTTCTCATGTAATTAAGCTACACATAGTCTATGCAAAGCTACAAAAGGCACTACCTTCTTAGCCCTAAAGGTTTCAGCCTGTTTTTCATCTATTTTACTTGCCTTCAGTTTATGGACATAGCTGGAGGCACTACCAGCTTTACGTACTAACGTCACACGCACAGGCTCACAAAGGTCTGACTCAATGTTTGGGTCTCAAATGATCTGAAAATCAGCATTATATTGATGAAGATATGATGACAGTAGTAGATAGTTCACTCACATCCTCTGAAGATGCAAACTTCACTAAGTTTTGACTGAGTTCTCTTTGAATTCTCTGTCAATCATCAGATTCATCTCCTTGGGGAAAGGGGCCAAAGCCCAACCCATGTTACAAAACGTTCTTCTGCATGTTGTGTGCAGTTACACATTTCCACCAGAGAGGTCTCCAAATCCCTAAAACTTACATAATGCAGCTTTAAACAGGCAATTGATTTTTTGTTTGTAAATGTAAATTGCAAATGTAAGTTGTCCCATTATTTAATGTTTATATATATATATATATATATATATATATATATATATATATATATATATCAACTTTCTTTTTATTAAAAAAAGTGCTGGAAATGTGCATGTTCTGTGTGTAAACAAACAAATGATAAACCAATAAACCAAACAAATGATAATAAATATCGGCTAAAACAAATCTGGCAATTTGGCAATTTGGCAATCTTCCAACTGGAATATAAATTGGTAGGATGGGGGAAAATCTCTTCAGCCATGTTGCAATCGCTAGCGGTACAGGCTACGATATTAACTTAGCTAGCTAGCAACGCTAAACAGCTGAAGTTTTGTAAAGTTTCTGCTATTCAATCAGATGTTTATTTATTAAAGTCTCAGTCACAACAGAATTATGCCTGATCTGTTCAAACACCCACACAAAATAAATAGCATTTGAGATTATTATGTACGTTCATGGATTCTGATGAGAAACTGAGCTGCTACAATCTGCCATTAGTCTTAATGAGGTTTCAGCAATTGTAATTGTAGGAGGAGCTCAAATAGGTCAGTTCGAACCAACCATCGCACTCCGCTGCTTTATCTGAATGTCCACCTCATGATGCTTTTGGGAACCGGAGCCTTTTTACAATGAATGGATGAGCAGATGGACAGATGAACAGACAGAAGGAGGAGGAGGGAGGAAGAGGAAGGAGGAGGAAGGCCTTTCTGGTGTCGGGTGGAGCTCGGCCCACCCGCCTTTCTCAGCTCCACAAACACACGCTGTTGGTGGTCTGGCAGGTGGAGGCGCTCTCGGCCGGGGAAAGGTAGAGTTTACCGCTCGGACACACGCACACCTCGTACACAGTCTGTTTGGGGTAGCTGGTGCCCGGACCGAGCAGAGGGTCCACACTGCCGTGAGGGAGATTACCCAGACGAATAGAGTTCGCATTCAGGAAAATCTGCAGGAAAAGAAAAGAAAAGAAAAGAAAAGGAGAGGAGAAGAAATAATATAAAAAAGAGAAGAGAAAATTAAAAAAAAAGAACAGAAGAAAAGAGAAGTGAAGAAAAAGAAGAGAAGACGAGAAGAGGGGGAAAATAAGGGAATGGGGAGAAGAAAGAAAGGAGAGAAAAGAAGAAAAGAACAAAGAAAAAAGAAGAGAAGATGAGAAGAGAAGGAAAGGATGAGAGAACAAAGAGAAGAGAAGAGAAAAAGAGAAAACAAGAGAGAAGAGAAGAGAAACAAAAGGAAGATGAGAAGAGAGGAAAAAAGGAGAGAATAAAGAGAAAAAGAGGAAAGAAGAGAAGAAAAGAGAAAATAGAGAAGAAGGACAGAGAAGAAAAAAACATGAGAAAAGAGGGAAAAAGGAGAGAATAGAAAAGAGAAAGAAGAGGAGAAGAGAACAGGAGAAAAGAACAGAGCAGTGAAGAAAAAAGAAGACAAGATGAGGAAAGAGGGACAAAATGAGAGAAAAAAGAGAAGAGGAGAAGATGGAAAAAAGGAGAGAATAAAATTAAAAAAGAAGAAAAAAGAAGAGATTGAAAGTAGAATAAAAAGAAAACAAAAGAGAGAAGTCAGAGGGGAAGAAAAGACAAAAGAAAGAAGAAGGGAACAGAAAGGGAAGAAAGAAGAAGAAAAAGGAAAAATAAGAGAAAAGAACAAAGGAGAAGAGAAGAGAAGAGCATTTTTGAATACAGATGAAGTGACAGAAGATAATACGTGTGTGTTACTCTGTTATAAACACGTCTCGGCTGATGGGGTAAATTTGAAGAGGACAAATGTTGCTTTAATCCTGAGTTAATTATTCAGTTTGTACTCTGAGAGGACTGTGTGAGTTGTGCTGCTCTGAGAGAGGAGTTGATGCACAATCACTCACACAAAACCTCAGAGTTTAACTCAGTGCTGTCCACTTTTCCCCCTTGTTTATCTATTAAACATGATCAGACTGCAGAGTTCAAGAACGTTCACACAAAAAACCACAAAACTCCAAACTCCACCTTAACTCAGAGATCTCTAAACATTCATTCAGAGATCTCCAAACATTCACTCAGAGATCTCCAAACATTCACTCAGAGATCTCCAAACATTCACTCAGAGATCTCTAAACACTCATTCAGAGATCTCTAAACATTCACTCAGAAATCTCCAAACATTCACTCAGAGATCTCCAAACATTCACTCAGAGATCTCCAAACATTCACTCAGAGATCTCCAAACATTCACTCAGAGATCTCCAAACATTCACTCAGAGATCTCCAAACATTCACTCAGAGATCTCTAAACATTCACTCAGAGATCTCCAAACATTCACTCAGAGATCTCCAAACATTCATTCAGAGATCTCTAAAACATTCACTCAGAGATCTCCAAACATTCACTCAGAGATCTCTAAACATTCACTCAGAGATCTCCAAACATTCACTCAGAGATCTCCAAACATTCACTCAGAGATCTCTAAACATTCATTCAAAGATCTCTAAAACATTCACTCAGAGATCTCTAAACATTCACTCAGAGATCTCTAAACATTCACTCAGAGATCTCTAAACATTCACTCAGAGATCTCCAAACATTCACTCAGAGATCTCCAAACAGAGAGAGAGAGAGAGAGAGAGAGAGAATTAGTAATAATTATTAAAAATGTTATCAGTGTTCTTGACAGAGTGCATCTGTGTACATAAACAAAGAAGCAAACAAACAAACAAACAAGGTTAACAGCCACGATATCACGACTCTAGAAGGAGAGAGGGAAAGAATAGAATGAAGTCTGGAAAAAAAGAGAAAATGAAAGACACTCACACTCACACCCACACTCGCACTCACACTCAGTCACACTCACACTCAGTCAGTCACACCCACACTCGCACTCACACTCAGTCACACTCACACTCACAGTCACATTCATACTCAGTCAGTCACACCCACACTCGCACTCATGCTCGCACTCACACTCAGTCACACTCACACTCAGTCAGTCACACCCACACTCGCACTCACAGTCACATTCACACTCAGTCAGTCACACCCACACTCGCACTCATGCTCACGCTCACACTCAGTCACACTCACAGTCACAGTCACGCTCACACTCACTCAGTCATAGTCACGCTTACACTCACTCAGTCATAGTCACGCTTACACTCGCACTCACAGTCACGATCACACTCAGTCACAGTCACGCTCGTGCTCCCAGTCGCACTCACACTCACATTTGCACTCACGCTCGCACTCATACTCGCACTTATGCTCACACTCACGCTCGCACTCACGCTCGTTACTCTTGTTTGCTCCCACACTCGCTCTGCTCTGTTCTGTTCTGTCTGCGGCTACATTCAGTGTCCAGTCTAAATCTCTGCGCTCAGGCCCTGTGGTCTCCCAGACCCTCATCCTGTGTTCTGTGATGGTCTAAGCCGCTCACTCAAGTGCTCAACAGCATCACGCTGGGGTTGTGAGGCTACACGACTGCAGGCACATAAAAGACGTTAATGCGACGGCACTGAGCTGGAGCCACTTATTAATTGGGTATAACTGCTCATGTCTAAAACATTCTGTGTTGGTTTGTCTATAAAAATTAAATTTTCTTCATCATTTTTTCAACTCCTCATTCTGCTGAATCCTCCATCCCAGGAGGAAGTTCTCTGGAAGTTCATAGAAAGTCCACGTTATCCCCCTTACGGGACAAATGAATGGCAGAATTAGAGCCTTACAGCTCGGTGGTAACACGCATGCTAAGTCAGAGCATCTGCAAGAAGATTTAGATTAGGCCGCAGTTTAAAATTATAATTATAGTCGTCTCTGAATGCTAATACTTCATAATAGAGCCTGTGGCAAAAGAAGGTTGAAGCGATTTGTTTGGCGAAACATCAAATTTACACACTTCCCCCTCTTTACGCCCCATATAGTTGATCAGCCAAGACATATTTGGTGTCTGAGGTTTGCTTCTTTAGCTTTGTCATGAAGCTACAAGGCTAATGAAGCTAACAAGTGAAGGAAGCTTATGTATGCTAATTAGCATTGTGTAGATTGCAAATCTGCATCTTCACATGCACCATTATACTGTTTAGAGCTGTTCACTAATCTCTAATAGACTTGTTTATGCAGTTTCTGTCACTGTATGACCCATTTTTATTTATAAACAAACAACAAAAATGCATTAGCATAGCTAAAAACAGCTGTTGGAGCCTTTATTGTGTATACTTTTGTTTATAGATGACAGTGTAACAGTGTCAGAAACCACATAAGCAAGTTTGGGGCAAGTGTGATGATTTAGGCATGCTAACAAAGCTAATTAGCTATGTAATAAGCTTACTTGTTAGCTACATTAGCCTCGTAGCTCCATTGTAAAATTAAAGAAGCAAAAGTGACTCAGCTGATTGGTTATATTTGGTGTAAGGAGGGAAAACCGGGTAAATCTGATTCCTTGAGTCAATCAGTGAAAGGAGTCGAGGGAAGGGAGGGAAAATATTTATCGGAGTGGTCAGAAGCCTCTCCTGGAAGTGTTGACGGACTGCACTATCTAACATCACACCTGTCCAATTTCAACAGCTTCCACACTTTAGCAGCCCTCTGCTAACGTAATATTTCTCCAGAAAGGTTCAAGAAGTCCCGAAGACTCAATGTGTGTGTGTGTGTGTGTGTGTGTGTGTGTGTGTGTGTGTGTGTGTACACATCTCAGAATGTGCCTCAAAATGTTTCTAATACAAATTATAGTTTGCAATAACCAGAGATGAGAACTCGAGTAAGTAAGAGACTCGGACTTGAGTCACGTGTTGACTGGCTCACGACTCAGCTCGAACGGGGCCTTAGCTAGCACGCGACTTGCACATACCTGACTCGTGAAACAACTCGGATTCATTCTTAACTCGCAACTTCACTCAGACTCGCCTTTAACTGACTCACGACTTCTTACCATTACCTAACCTTGGGTCCAACCCTAACCGCCTCACAACTCGACTTGGACTCATCTTTAACTGACTTTGGGTTCACCATTAACTGACTCATAACTTCACTTGGACTCACCTTTAACTGGCTCGTGAACTCAACTCTGATTCGCCATTTACTGACTCATGACCAGACTTGCAACTTGACTCGGACACAACCTTAGCTGGCTCATGACCAATCTTGGACTCATCCTTATCTGACTAACAACTCGATTCACCATTAATTGTCTTGCAGCTCATCCAGGTTTTGACCTTAACTGACTCGTGACTCAACTCAAACTCACTCACAACTTAACTGACTCACAATTTGACTCAGACTCACCCTGAACTAACTTGCAACTCGACTCGGTCTTGGACTTAACTGACTTGCGACATGGACTCACACTTAACTGCCTCACAACTTGACCTGGACTTGTCTTTAACAGACTCGTGAACCCATTTCCGATTCACCATTCACTGACTCATTACTTCACTTTGACTCACCTTTAACTGGATTGTGAACTCAACTCGGATTCGCCGTTTACTGACTCATGAGCAGACTTAGACTTGCCCTTAACTGACCTGCAACTTGACTTGCAACTTGACTCGGACACAACCTTAACTGGCTCATGACCAAACTTGGACTCATCCTTATCTGACTCACAACTCGATTTGGACTCACCGTTAATTGTCTTGCAGCTCATCTTGGTTTTGGCCTTAACTGACTTGTGACTCAACTCAAACTCACTCGCAACATAACTCACAATTTGACTCAGACTCACCCTTGCAACTCGACATGGTCTTGGGCTTAACTGACTTGCGACATGGACTCACCCTTAACTAACTCACAACTCAACTTGGACTCATCTTTAATTGACTCGAGAACTCAACTCTGATTTCCCATTTGCTGTCTCATGACTACACATAGACTCACCCTTAACTGACTTGCAAATTCGCTTTGGACTCTCCTCTAACTGTCTCGCAACTTGACTCAGACACGTTTAACTTGGTTTTGACCTTAACTGACTCTTGACTCAACTCA